TTCTACAAATCAAAGCAATACAATTATTAAGTTTTCTCTTCCAGCCCTTTAAGGATTAGTTGGCCTAATTCAGTTTCACAGTAATACTTAAAAAAGCCCCAAATGAAAACCAAGAAGTTTCAAGAGACTGAAGAATTTATAGTGACTTACACTATGATATACATCTGCCTGATAAAACATATTTCAAGTTCCTTTAGAGAATTCCTCTATGCTGCCTGCTGCTGAGTCAGGGTTGGAATTCTCATGCAATATGCTTTGATATTTCAGTCCAAACTGTTAATTATACAGATAAGAGACACATCAAAGTCAGATAATTGTAGACCAAAGTGCATTACTGCAGGGAAATTAGTAAGGCTTTTTTTTTTCAAACTGATGAAGCCTGAAATACATATTTCTATACAAAATCTAGAAAACAAGGAAATAAAACCCATAAAAACCAATTTATTTTGGCCATTTTACAGCTGACACAATTTTATGTTACCAGAGTCCTCTAAAGAAATGTATACAAGCCTATTATAAAAGAACTCAGTAAGTGCATTCCAAAAGTGATGCTCTATACCACTAGTGATACCAGAGACACTTCATAGAATCATGGAAACATAAAATCACAGAGTCACAGAATGGCTTGGGTTGAAAGGAACCTTGAGGGTCATCTAGTTCCAATCCCCTGCCATGGGCTCCCTGCCATGAGCAAGGACACTTTGCATTAGACCAGCTTGATGAAACCCCTTGAATACACCTCTCTGGGCAACCACATCTGGCCCCACCACATCCACAGTAAAGAATTTCTCCTAATACCACAGAATCATAAGATGGCTTGGGTTGGGAGGGACCTTAAAGTATCTAATCTAAATCTATCCTCTTTAAAAAACCAACCAAACAACCAAAAAACAGAAAACAACATAATCTTCTCCCCAGACAGACATTTAACCTTTGTTTGGTGAGAGAATACCGCCCAAATTACCATACACTTTTTCCTGTGATTAGGCATCAGCCAATACAGGGAAGAAGAGGGTAGAGTTAATGGCATACATCCATTTGGACTGGGCCTTTAAGAGCCAAAAGCTGTGGGCAATTATCCAGAATTGTAAAGTACAGATTTTTCTTTGTATTTTGGTGGTGCACAAGCAAAGCAAAGTTTGAAAATTCCAGTTTTTTTTGATTCATAATGAAAACCACAAGAGCGTGGAATCTTATCATGAGTCATCTCATGTTATGGTTTCAAATCCACATCAGAAGATACTCATTCCATGGCTTTCAGTTGTTTACATACTGAAATGACCTGACACTACGCTGTCTGTTCTGTTCTGTCTTTTCTTTGAACTCTGGAGTTCGAAGTATGTATGGTGATGCTTAGTCTGAAGATACAGACTAGGCATACTTCCCTATACTAAGCAGATGTTTATTCAATAACTGATAAGAAAAAGCATGTGATGTTTCAGTTAGACATTACATAGTAAATAATATTATTTAGCACTTTTTATCTTCTACTTTTCATCTCCGAGTACGCATCAACAACCAAAACAGGAGAAACAAAATACCAGACTTCTTGTAATTAGGCAGTATTACCTGCATACTGCAAACTGGGAAACTGAGTCAAAATAGCACAGTGGAAGCATCTGGAAGACCTCTGATGAACTTCATTCTGATGAACTATTCTGATGAACTTCAAAGTACTTAGCTTAATAGCATTAATAAACACTCTAAGTGAATACCAGTACTTGTGCTATAAATGTTGCTGGCACCTCCAGGACACTTTAAAAAATTGATTAGTGCTACACTGGACTGCTGAGTCATCAATGACCGTCCTTCAACTAGGACAAGAGGATGTCTTGTAAGCAAGTTATTTATATTCTTAATATCTTCAGCAGAAAGTAGAGTCTGGTTAGGTTTGGTAGTCATTAAACAGCAATTTTTGTACGAGCTGCCCTCCTCCATAGATTTCTAATCAGATCAACTTCAGTCTTAAATAAGAGCAATTACAAATAGGCCAACTTCTCTTAGTCTGAAAGAAAAAAGGCAATACTGAATCACGCACACTACAAAGGTTTGTTTTGGCCAGAAGCAAGACCAAGCCTCCATATTAAACTCTGTGTATGCAGTACCACTAAGTTATCCCACTTGGAACTGGAACTCAAAGGGTTGCTTTTTTTTTAATAAAATGTGCAGGTGGCCTTGAACTTCCCAAGATATTTTTTTGAAGCTGAATAGGCCGTGTTTCCTCTTCTCTTTTAATTTCAAAAATCTAATAATCATGATCATTAACCCCGAGCACAATATTAAACTACTTTTTATCTTTGCTGTGTGTTTTGAGACTGTTGTAACACATTTACCCCAATGTACTGCATGCTCTCAGATCCCATTCTGTATTATCATATCTGCAAATATTTACAAAGCAAAAAATACTGCCTGACTCAGCAACGAAACTCACATGTCTTTCATGCTGTTCCATATAATTGCTTCAGACCAAAACAACACAAAAACACCACTGCGAATTACAAAAGACAGAAATACTATTAGTGGCCTACAGCCAACTGTGGTCTCTAAGCATTTGTTGGTGAGCCCGTCACATGCATGCAACATTTGGAATACTGCTCAAAACCTCTGGCTGTACAAATATAGACCTTCAGTCAAGGAACTCAAGCAAGAGTTTCATTTGAGTAAAATCAGGGAGATCAGCAGCTGATCTGCTTTAAATGTTGCAACCCCACACAAGAACACACCGTCCTTTGCAAAGAAAAAGCAACAGGATACCCAAGCACAGGAAGAGAGCAAGGCAGCAGCATGCTAAGGGTCTGCACTTCAATGAAGTCTGTGCCCTCTTCAGAACATCCATAACATCCACTCAGGAATTGCAGAAGTGTCCGACTTTAGCTGTAGGCTGCAAGGCTCACTAGCACATGTCCCAGCAAAGATGAAAAGTAGGATGTAACTACACAGAGATCTGCCACCTTCCAACAGCCCCGGTATTAGTCCCCCTGGTACCCACAAAGATCAACCACTACAAGTTGCTTTGGGTAGTTTTAGAGATGCAAAGCTTAATCAAACTGTTAAATTATCACAACTAGGAAGAAAGCAATTAAGTAGTAATTTCAGAGGCTGGTTCTCTTCATCACTCCAAGAAGCAAGTTCACCACTGGAAGTCTTCTGAGGAGTAAAACACCCGTCACACTTCCATTAATATGAAAACTTTATTTATATTAGGGGTTAGTGATTTCTTCATTGACTATACAGAGATGATCAGAGTAATACACATCTTGATGTTCTAAGTATGTAAGTTTTCAATGAAAAAGCTTGTTTGAAGTTTGAGCTGGATGGAAGCTTGCTTAGACATATTCAGAGACAGTCTCAGGTCTATGAAGATGGCAGGCTAAAAAGTCATGAAGCTTGCTAAAACACAGAATAATTTTACACAATGAAACAGAAATAACAAATATGTACTTTTATTGCAAACACATACTTTTTTTTTTCTTTAATGAGATTAAATTTGACTTCTTTATCAAAAAAACTGCAATTCTATCCTGCTTCCCGAGTCAACATTTCCATTATAAGAAAAAAATCCTCCACCTTCTCTAAGTCTTCTTTCAGTGACTAGGAAAGGGATAAAAATATTATTAAGTTCAATATGGCTCCAAACTTTAAACAAAAACATCTTCCTAAATCAACTGTATACCCATTACATGCATTGTATACATGCTGGAAAATAAACACTGGCAAATACAGTCTTGGAAATGGCTCAAGGGCCTGGGTTTTTGAAAAGAGTTTATAAAATATATAACTGCTGTCAACTGGAAGATGTTAACTTCAAGACTGATGTTAACTTTAACTGTTCATTTGCAAGGAGAACATCCTGCATTTCCTCGTCGAAGAAGGTGCACGGCAACGTGCAAAAGCAAGCTCTCCCACGTGAGGCGGGAACATTCCAGGCTGCTCCCTGGCCAGTGCCCATCGCTCTTCCCAAACTGAAAGTCGTGCATTCTAGAGGTGAATTTCAGCAGCGCTATGTCTATGCAGTCTCCCCGTTCGCTCCCCGTGGGGTCACGGCACACGACCACGTTCACGGAAGGCACCTGCGTCCCGCACTGCCGCGCTGTGACCTGGCAGCACCTCGGCTGTCCAGGACATCCTCTGCCGGCAGCTCCCGGAGGGAACCGCAGCGGAGCTCAGGCTGAAAACACCCTTCCCACGGTGTCCGAGAGCCCGCTGCCGCCCTGATGGGCGCGCACCATCCCCGGCCAGCACAAGGGACGAGGCCAGTCCTGGTGGGGCAGTGCCCAGGGGAGCACCAAGCCCTGGGCTCAGACCCTCCGCTCGAGAAGTCCCCTAAACCGGCGAGCAGCACGCCGACAGCCCTTACAGCAGTCGAAGCCGGTGAGGCTGTGGCAGGGCTGGGAGACGATCCTGCTCCCCCCAAGGAGCCCTGGGGCGACGGCAGCGCCCCCGACACACCGCCCCTGAGAGCCCCAGCAGCGGCGCCCGCGCGGCCAGAGCCGCCACGAAGCCGCCGCTCGCCCCGCTCTGCCCCGCCGCCGGCCCATCACAGGCACACGGGGGACACGGGCCCAGGGGTGCCGAGGGACGCCCGGCGGGGCCCGCCTGGGCAGCCGGGACCGAGCACCCCGCGTTGTCTGCCCCCCCGCAGACCAGAGGGGACGCTGGGGGTACCGCCGACTCCCAGGAGACCTCCTCGAAGTTGCCCCGAGAAGTTTGGGACCGCCCGGAGGTGCAGCCGCCGGGCAGAGTCGCCCCCTCATCCCACACCTCCCTCCTGCCACCTGGCCACACGCTCCCGGACGGGCCGCCGGGACCGGACCCCGGAGACCGACCCCACGACGTGGTTGAGCCCCCCGGGACGGGACCGGACCGCGGACCAACCCCAGTCGCCCTCAGGGCAAGCGGCCCTCGCTCCTGGGACAGGGGAGCGGCAGCCCCGAGGCGCGCTTAAGGGCTACCCCCGCAAAAGCAGCCCTTGGGAATAAACAAAGCAGCAGGACACCTACCATCTCGCCTGATGTTGGAAGCCCGCAGGGCTTTTATAGATCCGCTCTGGGCAGGGGCGGTGGTGCCCTGACGGCTGCAGAAGTTCGCACAGACGACGGCGTAGAGCAGGAGGAGGATGAGCAGTTGCATTGGGACCAGCTGCGAGCGGGACCGTGTCTCTGCGAAGAAACGGGCTCTCCTCTCCCGCCGAGGGTGCTTCCCTCGTTCGTGTTCTCTTCCCCCTTACCGGACTTTTTGATTGTTGCGGGTTGCTTGTGTGTTTGGGGAAGTTGAATGCGGGGGGCAAAAAAGGCACAATCCCCGCAAAAAAAGCTCAAAACCCCGGAGCAGGCGAAGCAGCGGTCACCGCCACCGCGCTACTCTCCAAGCTGCCTCAAAACTTCCTGCATGCTGAACTCTCGGCTGCCCTTCTGGGCCGGCCAAACTCGGCAGAGGTGCGCAGCGCCCGGGCCGGGACCGCCGCCCACTCCCCTCGCCCAGCGCGGCCGTGCCCCGGGAGCAGGCGGGGGCTGCCGCAGCCGCGCTCGCCCGCGGCCGCCGCGGGGCTGCACCGCGCCTCGCACCGCCCCCGCCCGCCGCGGAGCCGCCGCCGCCGGGGTCTGCAGCGCCGGGAGCGCCCCGCTCTCCGCGCCGGGGGAGGAAAGGGGGCCCGCGGGAAGGGGGCGGGAGCGGTGCCCGGGCCCTCCCTGAGCTGCCGGCCGCGCCGTCTCCACTCCGGGCAAAAAGTGGCAGGAGGGATGGTGCGGGGAGGGGGCTGTCCCCGGTGCGGAGTGAACGCTCCCGGCGACTGGATAGGACGGGAGCCGTGTGCCAAGGGCTCTCCGCCAGCACAGGGGCCGCGCACCCGGCGGTCCCGTCACCCTCGGGCCCGTGGTGGCCGCCTCAAAGTCATCGCTGGGCCGAATGCCTCAAATCTCTGAGCTGTGCCAGGGCGGGTGGGAAGACTTAGTGGGACAACTGGGGAATAATCCGCAGTTGTCCCGGGGAGAAATATACGGGCTTCTCCTGTCATGCCAAGCACTGTCCAAAGCTTTTCATAAAAAGTTACTTCTTACTAATTTATACCCTCATTAAATTGGGTCTGGCATTAAAATATTGTATTTCTGCCTGGAAGAGTTTAGGTCTAAACCAAAGGTATGTGAGAATTGTAATCAGATTGCTAGTTTAATATTCTTTTTCTTTCCATTAGTTGCAATGAAAATTATCAAAAGGAAGATGCAAACCCCCCCCCCCCCCCAAAAAAAAAATCGTGCTCAGGTTTTAGCAGTTCTCTAATAATTTTTCCCTACTCAGTTTATTTCTTACAACATTTTATGCAGTCTTAGCCAGTCTAACAAACGGTTATATGCTGCCAGATCTTTAACAACATGAAACATCCGTCATTAGCAGAAGAATGTCAATATGGTGCTGTATCAGGAGTCTTGGACGAGTCGTGCTACACTGTGAGTTCTGCCTCTGGCTGTGTGAAGCATTTTCTCCAAGAGCATGCTAGGACGACAATGGGACTGAAACATCTTGTATGTCTCAGGAAACCAGTAGGGTGCAATTCTGTTATGCATAATTCATGCTCCTTTATCCCTTTCATGTTCCCCAAAACTGACAGCGAACCTAATCCTGCTCCCATGTGGTAGATAATGGAAAGACTCCAACAGTGCTTCATTTGTGAGCAGATGTGACTATATTTTAGGTGCCCATTTCAGAGGGGAACTAGTGAACAGAGGGAAGGTGGCCAATTCAATCATCCAAGTAGAAACAGAATGTCAAATAGAGGACACAGAATGAATGAGTGTGGGGGAGCTTGGGAGATGTTCTCTCTTCATCCAGTCAATGGGTCAACCTCTCTCCAGTTACCTTACAAGGAACTGCCAGAAAATGCCAATAGAATCCCTGCTCCCCAACTCTCTTCTGACCTTTACCACAACTTGTCTTGCCTTTCTCAGTGCCTTGAGGCTCTCCTTCTCTTTTAGATTCGGGATGCTGGAATCTGTAATTGGTTCTCTTTGGGGAAGTGGTCATTTTAATGTGGAAGAGAAAGATGGACAGATTACCTTCCAGCCAAAAAGTCAGACAAAAGATGTTTTGACAGTATCTGAGCAATTGCACAATTCAGTCAAGAAATGGCAGTATTTCCCAGGTTGTTTCTCTTTCTGTATTGAAATTCATCCATATAAATTTGCTTATATAAAATTCATATGTCTTCCCAAGACCTGGTATAGAGACAGTCTCTCTGGCCCCATGCCTTGCTGGCTGCAAAGGTCCAACTTTAACAGAAGAGCAAAAGAGACTTTTGTTTTTAACAGTCCACAGCTGTTTGGCTGACATGCTCCTTGGCTTGATAGAGACTATAAGTTTAAACTTCCTCAAGCTGACCAGGGCACAGAAGTGAGGTTTCCTCAGTACTTTTTTTTCTTTTTTTTTTTTCTTTTTAAGAGTACATACTGTTTTGGTACATAAGATGAAATTCCTGTTTATGTAGCAGAGATACCTGGTTGCTTAGAGACTTCTCAAGCAAAACAGCATGAGGCCTCATCAGCTAGACGATGATGGATGCAGGCAAGTGGATTCCACCACCTGTGGCTTTGATACATACTAAGAGGATGTAACTCATATCATATGCTCACAGTACATTTCTGTTTCTCCCTGTACAAAGCATAGGATAGTGCCACTCTTTCTTAAATCAAAAAATATTTCTGTAGCAGACAAGTCTCTTTGTCAGGTCAGAAAACAGGGAATAACATTGTGGGGTCCAAAACAGAGGCCTAGCTCTATGAATTATCAAATATTTATTTTAGCCCTAGTATAGAAAAAACCCTACAGATTTTCCAGCTTGATGTACAGGTGAACAGAAAGATTTTGGGACAGAAAAGCAAAACTAACATACATTGGCAGACTGTTAGAGGAAAGGCCTGCATTCCAATGACTGTGGCTACAGCTTCTTAGTTCACTTTCAAAACCACTAGACCCACTAAAAGCCAGAAAAGTGTCTTTATAATAAGGTGTCATAGAACCCCCATCAAAGAGAGAGAAGTTTGGATTAGACTCAGACAGTTTTATAAGCATATCACTGGGTCTTTGCTTTCTGGCAAAAATTCTAGCACATTGGCTAATCTGCATTCTAAGTGCTTGGAATAATTTAAAGCATCAGGTGGCTTCTGTAGGAAGACCTATAGCAAGTCATGGTTGCTGCATAAAAGGACACACTGATGTATAAGTGTGATAACCTAGGTAATTATAGATTTGTCTGCTCAATTGGGACCCTAATAAAAAAATCTTCACATAAAAGTCAATTAATAGAAGTTAAAATGAAAATAATGTAATTGTTTTCTATCAACCTGGAAAATCTTACCATGCCAACTTGGAAATCTGGTTGACAAGCAGAATAGCATCCAATTATGGCTTTCATAACATACCAATTGGTACTGCATTATTTGAATCATATGAAATGAAAGCCATGCATACTAAGTATTTTCAAAACTTCTTAAATGACAGGCTTAAAAATGTTTATGAAAAAGGGGAAAATTATTAAATGGATTCTCTTTGAGAGAGTGCCACTTAGACTAATTTTTTACTTCTGCACTGGTTTACACTTGTAGGCACACAGTTTGTGGTAATTGGGAGTGGGGCTGCGGCTGAGCCTCATCCCCAATGGGCTACAGCTGTGCAGGGCAGGTGAGCATCATTGGAGGTAATGAGACATGGAGTGCCCAGGTGCACTGACCAATCCCCAAAGGGAACAGAGGGCACACAGGTGCAATGCATGAGCAATCAGGGGTATAAAAGGTTGGGCTGAAGAGCAACAAAGAGCAGACCTTGAAGCCTTTTGGTGTGCTGTTACTCTGTATGGGCAGGTGCTTTCTGAAATTTTGTGGTCATACTCTGTGTATAGTGGCTGTCTCAACTGTGACATATGCTGTGACATGCATTTCCAACAATGACCTGTGAAAATTGCAGCTATTACTGATGACTACTGAAGATGACAAAAACTTTGGGGGAGTAACAATAGGATGATTGATAGTGTTGGTGACATATTGAGACAAATGTGTAGTTACTGCATATAAGTGTAAAGCTGAGCCCTGGCCCAGCTTATGCATCAAAATAGCTACTGGCAGCACTTCCCAGTGCCTGTGGAATCTACTTCACCTTGTTTTAGTCCCCTGAAAGTGCCTGGTGTTAGCCAGTTGCAAAGTTTCTCATTGTTCATGGAGAGAATTGGGTTCCCATCAGAGGACCCTCTAGCCCAGAGGTTTTAGGCAATCATGCTGGGGTGGTTTGGAAGGTCCAGTTTCTCTCCACTGATAATGAAGAGAGTACAGGGGAAAAACACATCCATAGTTATAGGAGAGAGTGTTTAATCCTAGGAAGCACTGATGCAGAAAAAAATGATGGGGGTAGATTATCAAGAAAGTCAATGGGCTGTAGCAATCTCTGTTAACATTTTTTGACTGGGAGATGCTCCCAAGTAATGCAGTTTGTCTATGGAACATAAATGCACTGTTTTTCCAGAACATTTAAGCTATGTTGATTAAGTAGCAAAATCCAAGATATCTGTGAGTTTTCTCTGGGATCCTTGAATATTTATTTTAAAAAGAGACTATCAGTTAAAGTAGGGGCATTATGCCTTCTTCTGTTATTATTAGACTGCTGCCTCAAGTTCCTATGAATAAAGTCTTACAAAGGATCATAATAAAGTGAGAAACACTGAGAGGAAAACCACAGGGTTAGCTGGAGGTTGAGAAATATGCCACTCAGAGGAAAGCTTAAAAAATCACAAGCTGTTTAGCTTGTCAAGGAGAAAATCCAGAGGGGTCACAGCTACCTCCCGGAGGTAGGATATTGATTCTAGAAGGCTATTTTGTCTAGTGGACAATGACATATCAAGGTGAAAGCTGGAGACAGACAAATTAAGGTTAGAAGTAAAAGACACATTTTTCTCTGTGGAAAGCTATGGAAGTATCAAAGTTCTTCACCACTGAAAATCTGAAAGGCAAGAGTTGATGTTTTCCTAACACCAGTCAAGTGGTTTCAAGCTGTGCTTAGGAACTCTTGGGGTCTATCGATCACTTCTAGAAAGTCTGTAAAGGCAACAGTGGAAAGAATGTTCATATGTTCTATACTACAAGCCACAGATA